GTTTCTATTTAGCAAACCTGAGGTGAAGGTGAAGGTTTGTTCTCCAAGCTTGTGGGTTGATTTCAGAGATGGTATTCAGCAGGTTCTGACCAATTCTGGAGAACCGGTAGCGGAAATTTTGAGTAGCTCAGAGAACCGGCAAATACCACCTCTGACTGGCCCTCCCCCCAATCTATTCTCTGCCTCCTGAGTCCCAGCGGATCGACTGGGTCTTCTTTTGTTGCCCTGCACAGGAGAAAATCCAGAATGTCTATAATGAAGCAGAATTGCCAATATGACAGTGACAGATTATAAAATGCCACTAATTGATGGACTTTCCTCTTATATAACAGTTTCATTTTATTTCATTTCTTCTTACCCATCTCAGGGTAATCTGACCTGTTTTGGAGCAGAGCAAGATAATATACTTCAAATTTTTCAGAAAGGACTTCTATGTTACATCAGTGTAGGATTTCTTTCGAAGCAAGTTATCTTCAGGTACTTCCAGAAATCAATGCAGATGTAAGCCAGCTGCTTTCTGGGCAACTAGTTGAATAGGGATGAAGCATGTCCAGTATGTTAAATTATGAATAGCAATTTAGATCTGTAAAGATGCATACAGTGGTGCTTAAAAGTTTGTGAACTCTTTCAAAAATGTTAATATTTCTGTATAAATATGATCTACGATGAGATCTGTTCTCCATAAAAATCCTAAAACTAAGTAGAGAATTAAACATACAAGTTTAAAAAAAAACAGTATATGTGTTCATTTTTTCATTGAGGAAAATGATCCAAAGCTACATATTTGTCTATAGCAAAAATATATGAACATTTGCTTTCAGTAAGTGGTGTAGCCTTCTTTTGGCAATTGAATGGCAATTGAATGCTTTTGATAACTGTTGATCAGTCCTGCATGATAGCTTGGAGGAATTAGAGATAGCAAAGCAGCACCGATCCCATAATATTTCAATCACTATGATTTGGATGGATAAGGTTCTTATGTTAGAATGCAGTGTTTTGCCTTTCATCAAACATAGCACTTTCTCTTCAAGTCAAAAAGTTCTATTTTGCTCTCATTTATCCACAGCACATTCTTCCGTAATATCCAATATTGACATAATATCCAATATAGGGAACATTTCTGAATGTGATTAGAAAGTAAGTTCAGCTGGTTTAATTTCCTTATTAAAGGCCCCCCTGATGCTGAAAGCAAAGATCCTTTGACTCCTGGTGCTCAAATCTGTGGGAGACCATTATTTTATGGTCTCCTTGGAAGAAGCTGTCCCTGAGGGCACTCATGGGCATTCTCCCATTCTGTCTTACATAGACATTTGAAGGACTGATCCATCTTCATTCCTCACAATGGCCGTCAGCTCTGCTTGTTCACAGAGATGTCTTCACTCAACCATGACTCATACTGGATGTCTAAAACACCTCCTATTTGGTGGCCCTCCTATAAGTTACACTGTGGAGGATTCCTAACATTCAGTTTTTAAGCATGTTGGGCAATCAGAGATTAGTATTTGGTGAGATTTTTCCAGGGTTGGGATTCTACCAGTTCTCACCTATTCGCTAGAACCAGTTGTTAACATTCTAAGCAGTTCAGAGAACCGGTTGTTAGAAGAAATTACTGGGCTAATCCTGTAAAGAAGGCAGGAAGGAAACATACTGGTGTTGCTTACAGAAACTGCCTCTCCGCTAACCCTTATTACATTCTTGGCAGGACTAGACTTCCTGTCTCAGGAACTTCTCTGGAGGTTTTTTCCCCCTCCTTTGCTGGTACTTTGCTTGTGTGGAGTGACCATTCAAAGTTACAATAGCACTGAAAAAATTGACTTATGACCATTTTTCACACTTACAACTGTTGCAGCATCCCCACAGGAATGAGAGGCCAGGCGAGGAGATGCGTGCCTCGATGTGAGTGATATTGAGTTGGCCACGCCCAGCCAATAACATGACCACCAAGCCACGCCTACCAACTAAGCCACACCCACAGAATCAGTTGTTAAAAAATTTGAATCCCACTTCTGGATTTTTCCTTTGTCTGCAGCACAAAAGGAAAATAGATTTTGAAGTGGGTTTTAGAACTTACTCACGTTCCAGTCAACCTTATGTTTTGGAGTAACTTTTTTGTTGAAGAATAAATCCCAGATTAGCTAAACTCTTTAGAGTGAAAAAAATGAAAGGTTTATGGAATAATAATACCTATCTACTTGTTGGTCTCTTGCTTTTTTACCTCCTGCTGTATAATACTTTTACTGAAGTAGACGTAGTTTATGAGTATTTATGATTGTCTAGTACAAAGCTTTATAAGTACATCCTGCTACAGCAAGGATAATAAGTGAATTCTCACAAACTATTTAGGATCCAAAACAAAACTCAATAGACACAGAATTTCAAGTATAAGTCAATTTCCTCTTGAAGAATAAAGTGAAGTATAACTTGAGTTAGTGCAAAAATATTTTGGTGTTGAAGCTAATTACTTTGGCCTCAGTGTCTAGAACTACAGAATATGAACACATCCAAGAAACCATTGCTTGTGGTTTCAGGCTGATGTTCCGGCATCTCTTTCCTTGTCCCCCTTTTTTTTACTGTCTTTCATATCACATACACTAGTTTTGTGGCTTAATTCTTAAAGTTTAGAAAGGAAGCATCTGACATCTGCATAATTAAACACTAATATGCAGGGCAGTATATTTAAGGTACACACAGTTCAAGCAGCATGATATTTTTCACATTTTTTGGAGTGCTGTAAAACACAGAGAACCAAGACTTTGAGTAGAATTAGACGGGTGTGTGCCTTATTTCCACAAATATCAGTTGGGAGGTCTTTGCATGTGATTATTTCCTACTGCGTTCCCAAGATTATCATTTGGATAGAGACTCACTCATGGTGTAACAAGAAAAGGGGACAAACATTGTCCTAAAATAGGCAAAGTCTTGTTTAAAATATAAATGCAAATTAGCAATAATGACTATAATTAAGTATAATAGCTATGTAGTTGCATATAAATTAAGGGAAGGCTACTAAAAAAACTAAGTGGAAAGCTTATTTGATATATTTTTAAAGGGTTAATATTTAAGAGAGATAGAGGAAATTCCCTATGAACCTCTCCATGATATTGCAGGCCTTAAATACAAAGCATCTTACCATAAAGCTGCATGATATGCAATTCCAAGAAACGTTCTGTTGTCCTTCTTCTGAAGGACCAATTGGATGTGGAGCAGATAAAAATCAAATAAAGGCCACTGTAAATCAAGAACTGTGTTCTGAACACATAGCCACCTTAATTTGTCACATTAAGTTTGTATTTCTTTCTGTTGTTGTTTTTTTTAAGGCTCATATGCCTTTCAAAGCCCTTTCTCTACTATTGATGTGACCTGGAAGCAGTGGTGGGATTCAAATTTTTTTACTACCGGTTATTTGGGCGTGGCTTGGTGGGCGTGGCATTGCTTGGTGGGCCTGGCAGGGGAAGGTTACTGCAAAATCCCATTCCCTCCCCACCCCACTAACCTGCTTTCCAGCTCCATTCTCATGTGCAGGGCAGCAAAAGAAGACCTAGCCGATTATCTGGGACTCGGGAGGCAGACAATAGATGGGGCAGGGCCAGTCAGAGGTGGTATTTGATGGTTTTCCAAACTACTCAAAATTTCCACTACCAGTTCTTCAAACTACTCAAAATTTCTGCTGCTGGTTCTCCAGAACTGGTCCGAACCTGCTGAATATCACCTCTGCCTGGAAATCATGCAAATTACCATGAGATAGGTCTCATAGGTTGATTGTTGCCTGTGAAGCTTCTGAAAGCCACAATATCTAAGTCCTTTGGGGTGCAGGGGATTGGTATAGGGGCCTACCTGGTGTACTGGATTTAGTATGGTGTAATGTTCTAGGAACTCCCTGACATCATGTTTTAAACTGGTCTCCCCAGATCTGACATTCTCACATAGGGCAGGACTGCTTATGGATATTTCTACGGATTGCAGTTTTGATCTATCTGGAGCAGGCCAGAACTGGAAAAGCTACTTTAATTAATCCTTGCTTTGGAAAGTTCACCTCCTGCCTGATCTCAAACTATGAACAATTATCTTAAGATGTTAATTTGTTAAGCCAGCCTTTTGTTTTACTACTTCAGTTTTTGGTGTGAGACATATACAAAGATGAAGAACCTGAAAGTCAAATCCCTTAAAAGCCACTCCACTTTTTCAAACATTCCAAAGCTTGTTTTGAGGATGAAATTGATTTTCACTTTTTCACTGCTTTTGATTAATTATTGTTGTGGGAAGGGAACCTTCAACAAAGCTACCTATTTGTGGGATGCAGTCTCTAAGGAGCTGGCCATCTCAAATCATAGGGCAAAGCAAGCTTAATCATAGGCTGTTTCTAATCCATTCTTTTTCTGTAGCAAAGCCCTGCCGTTGGAAACCTTTATAAACTTATAAACTAGATATGCTCAGTTCAGTGTTATGTGGCAGGGGAAAAAATCCCATACCTCCAATAATACATGCTTAATAATATCAGCATCTATTTTCATCTGCATGTGAACTGTTAAATAAATTAAGGAATGACTCCTCTGGTATAGGAGACATAGAGTTTAGTCCTATGGGAAACATGTGCATGTAACTATTCGTATCTTTCAGATATTTGTGTTTATTAATGTGTTCTTTCCATCCATCTTTCCTAATGTCTGGGGCAATCTTACTGACTGAAATAAGGTTCTTCACATAGCAATTTATTTATCTATCAGATATATTAAATAAGGTTCTTCACATAGCAATTTGTTTACTTATACATATGATTTATAAATAGGATAATGTCCATGAATTTATACATTTACATTCAAGCTTTCATTACATATCTGAATGTCCAGATGGCAGCTAATAACATGAAATGGAACACAAATTTAAATAAAATTTCACCCATGGAAAGATATTTTGCATTAATACACTTTCTATTTTGTCCACTGTGTAATCCACCATAAACTCACTGAATAAGACCTACTTCTTCTTTCTTTGGTCTCTAGTCTCCCCTGTTGTGGAACCCATTTTCCAGGATATTCGGCAAGCCATGGGACGTAGTGTAATCCTTCGATGTACCATGTTAAAGGGAAGCCCTATGAAAGTGGCCACAGCTGTCTGGAGATTTAATGGTAGTCTTCTAACAGTGCCTCCAACAGAGCAGCAAGACTATTCAGAATATAAAGTGGACAGTGTAAGCCGGGAGACTAGTGGCAATTACGAATGTAGTATCTCCAATGATGTTGGGGTAGCGGTTTGCAAATTCCAGGTATCAGGTAAGTCTTGTAAAGGACACCTGTCCTTTTTCTTGTTTAGTGGATACTAGTATGATTAGACTTGGCTAATGATTGGTAGATGAATGAAATGGAAAATTTTCCCATAATGAGACTATGCTTTAAAAAAAAAGGAGTTTTTACCATCTCTCCATTTACTGAGCAATCCCGAAGCAGCAGAGAGATAGTGCTGGGGCAGAAATTGGACTCACCTTCCTTGTAGGAATCTCCACTGGATCAACCAGCTTTTCTGCAAACAGAAGAAAAGGGCAAGTCTGGATCCAATACCTAGTTGATAAAATGAGGCAGAAAAATTGGTTCCTATAAGATGCCAATACTCACACTTCCCTTCACCTGCCTCTTATGAATATAATTGTTCACTCCAATATTAGTTTCTGTATTATATTTTGCTATCTTGTCTTTTAAGTTTGGAAGCCTGAGGGCAGTTTCTGTTTTTTAATTGATAGAGTTGATTAATTAAAAAATAGTCTTTATGCCACAATGCATCATGTAATTAAATATAATTCAATGATTTAAAAATGGAAAGTTTAACTCATGTGTATCATTGTTGTTTCCATGACATCTGGGCTTCAGGGATCTGAAATATTATTTGATCCTTTAATTCTGTTTTCCTGCAAAACTATCTCGGAAAATGAGTGGCTAGTGGTCAGACATACCCTTTGGACTGCCCTGATTTTTTATTTTTATTTTGTTTGGCTCTTTGTACTGATATACTTTGGCCTCCTGCAGCCGTACAACCCTTTAACTGAGTCCTTTCTTTGCAGTCAATATGAATTACTTTAGTCAGCATTTTCCAGTTACTATAAAAGTGCTAGGTAACTTTTACACCTTAGCACAACATCAGGTGCATACCTCAAGGAAGCCTTCTCCACACTTAAGATATCAGGCTTGTACTAAAAGAAATGCCATCTCTGCACATTTAAGTAGAAGTGTATGTGAATTTAATAAAGAAATATGCCAGTTCTTTCATCTCCCAATGGTTGGTATAGCTGCTTGTGTGCAACTTTCATTCTTTCAAAATCTATATTAATATTTTCCGCTCTGTCTATAGCAAAGTTCATGCATGTGGATTTAGAGGTGGGGTCCAGCATTTATTTAATTCTTCTGTGTTTTCAAATAGTTGCAAAGTGCTCCATGAGTGATTTATATGAACAAGAAGAAAATTATAAAGGATATAATGAACTTTATTATTATATCACCAGAGATGGAGTCTTCTATCTTGACAATCAATTAATTATAAAAATAGGCATAAGATAATGATGATCGTCTGTTCTGATTTTATTTCTGAATTTGTTATGAAACTTGACTTAACAATCAATACATGTTGAATAGGCAACAATTAGTCTCCAAGGTGGCTCTGAATGTCTGCATACACAAAAATATAAGTCAATAAAAATAATAAGAAAAGGGGGTTCAGAAGTAAACATCAATATTACTATTCCCAGTTAATAAAAATAAACGTGGAATCATTTCCATTTAATTAGAGCAGAAAAGAATGGCTGAGCTAGTAATTGGGGTGGGTAAAGAAGAATGGAAAAGAAGAAAACTTTGAGAATAAGAAATACCTGCACAATGTATTGCTTGTCTTTAATATTTTCACACTGTATGTGTTTTGTGATTTTAAATTGGCCAATGCAAGCATGTGGATAGGGTTTTCTGTGGAAAGATTTTGCTTTGGAGATAAACAGTGGTATTTGGGACCATAGTGTCTTCCTTGTGAATCAATAACAAGGGGTGAGTGAATGGAAGGACTTTATTGGTAATCAATCTTTAGGGTACAAAAGGCTCCCAGCACCACATTGTGGCCTCCCAGCATCCAAGGTTGCACTAGAAATATTCTTCAGCAAAATACAGATAGTCCTCAACTTACAACAGTTCATTTAGTGACCATTCAAAGTTACAACATCACTGGGAAAAGTGACTTATGGCCATTTTTCACACTTATGAGCATTGCAGCATGCCCGTGGTCATGTGATTTACACTTGGATGCTTGACAACACATTTATGATGGTTGCAATGTCCCGGTGGTCATGTGATCCCCTTTTCTGACCTTCTGACGAGCAAATTTGAAGGGGAAACCAGATTCGCTTAAGAACTGTGTTACTAATTTGAGAACTGCAGTGATTCACTTAATAAATGTGGCAAGAAAAGTTGTAAATGGGGCAAAACTCATTTAATTAAGAAATTTCTCACTTAGCAACATAAATGCTGTGCTCAATTGTGGTCATAAGCTGAGGACTACCTGTAGTGCTGCATTTGGGATGTTGCATTTTTGTTATGATTAAACCCCCCCCCCTCCAAAAAAAAGTGTGGCAATGAAAGTAAGCCATTTTCACCTCCACATTACCTACCCCACCTCCTCCAAAACTGCATGAAATCAATTTGCAGGGGATCTTAGAAGGATGAAGTGGGAGAGGAGACATCTAGAGCACTCCTGGAAGGAAACTTGAAGAACACTTGACTGAACAAATGTAGAGCTGCTATTTCTTATCAACAATTTTAAGTTTGGGTTATTATGTAGCAGATGCTTGTTAGAACACCTTAGCTTCTTCATTTTCTATTACTTTTTCTATTCAAATTCCCAGAAGTAGGAGATGGTGGAAATAAAGATAACAATGTGGTTTAAAAAATACCTAAAAAGAAAATAAATATCTATTTGGTAAGATTGGTTGTCTATCACCTTCATGCTCAAAGCTCTTGATAAGTTGCTGGCATAGATTCTTATGGATCTCACTGACATATAATGACTTTCCTCCCCATTCTTTCCCTTCTTTCTTTTCATCTCATTCTCTTTTCTGCTTCTCAGCTAAAGCTTATAGCCCAGAATTTTACTACGATACTCCCAATCCTATAAGGAAGCAATCCAAGAACTACTCCTATGTCTTACAGTGGACACAGAAGGAACCTGATGCAGTTGATCCCATTCTTAGTTACCGTCTAGATGTCCGCCAGGTAAGACCTATAATAGCAGCTTAAACACAGAAATTCAGCTACTGCTGAAGACAGTTTCCAGACCATAGTTGCAGAGTTAAAACAAGAATGCTTTTCCCCCCTACCTACATAGATTAGAATTTGGTATTTGCAAAGCAGGTTAGAGCAGACGTCATGATGCTTCTTTCTTCATTTTATATGGCTGAGAAATCTGTTGTATGGCATACCTTTTAATTATAAATTCTGATGCATAAGCATTTGAGAACTAAGGAAGTCTGTTGAATCCTCTTGGAATTTCCAGGCTTTGTGTTTTCACTAAGGCTGTAACAAGAACAAAAACTTGTGTAGTCATTAGTAGTTTTTGTAGATTTTATAGGCCAGCCATTTAGAAGGGTGTGAATCCAGATTCTTTCCTTTGAACCAAAGGCTGTAAATTGAAGGGCACTCCAGATTCAAACTGCCAAGAAAATTCATTGACTGTTCATGTTGTGCAAAGCCCTTCTCCAAGCTGTTATAATAGTAATGGAACATTATTACCACCTTCTGAAGAAAAGTTTGGGACAAAAGAGTGTTTCAATACAGAATGAAACAGAATCATAAGGAGCACAACCAGGAAAAAGAAAATATTTGATATACTAGATTGTTGAAATAGATGCATGGATGCATACAAACATATGTATGAGTGCATGTGTTTGTTTTCTCAGCAAAGACCTGTGAATCAGACATACAAATTCCAAAATTTCTCAGCTAATATATCATTTAGTTAAACCCAGGTTATGAAATCATTTGGAGGGACTTTATGCCAAAAGGTAGATCTGTCTATGTAAAATAAGCAAATAGGGAGAGTCAGTATATGTAAAAAAGAATGGAACCACAGATTTTCTGCATTCTAAAATGTTCTTTTTCCTTGTTTTTCTTGATTGTTCTTATAAGATCTGTTGTTCTGTTTCTCTTTTCAATACCCTCTCTACACAAAGAAAAAGAGTATCTTTTCTCTTTGTAGAAAAGGCCAATCTACATTTTTTTGAAAGATCTTACCTGTAGCCTGTTTTTTGAAAGATCTTACCTGTAGCCTGCCCTGAGTTATGCTGAAGTTTGTAAAGTTCAGACCTGCTCACCTTAAAATCCCTGAGAAAGATTAAATTCTAAGAAATCAGGCTTGACTGCTATGATGAGAGCCAGAGTCTATGCCTGTTTTTCCATTCACATAATATTCTTTGATCCAGCAATGGTTAAAGAAGAAATCAATATCCACTGATTTCTTCCTCCCTTCCATAATTCCTGTACTCCCCAATCTATTCTAAAGAATTAACCTTGTTCAAAAAATTGGGGAGCTTGGTGGGGAGTTCCCCTATTCCCCTATTCAGGGAAACATCCACTAGTTCATGGGCTTTCTTTAAATAGAATAGTAGAATCATATATAGTCCTTTACCAACAAAGCAGATAGCTGTGCAACATAATGGAATGTAAGTTTTTTTTTTTCTCTTTCCAGCATTGAGATGTGTGTTCCTCTGGTGATCCCTGGGTGGCAAAATATACTTTTCTATCTGCCCATTATCATTTGGGAAACATTAGTGTTCACAAAAAACCGCAAGAATGCCAAAATATGACACTTTGCATGTTGCATTGTCATGGCAATGATGGCAGTGGATACTTGTATTGGTCACAAATGTGTATGTCATAGAATTTGTATGATGAGATCATCACTTGTATTTTATTATTTGCTGTCATTTGCCTTGTCCTGTGGGTGCCCATGTTGGGAAGGAGAAAAAATATCATTTCTGATTACAGATTGTATTGTTCTTAGTAGTTATTGGAACAGTTGCTTCTTTTGAGGAATATTTTAGCCATTTTGGGGTTAAGACTATTTGTTATGCTTGGCAACTTTTGTTTTAGCTGCTGGAATTTTGAGATGATTCTGTGTTCAAAAATGATTCCTTTGATAAATTGCTTCGGCCCACAGAGAAAAATATTTTTGTCATGTTTTGTTCTTTTAAGCAACTATCGTTAGGAATGAGGCTGACTAATGCCCATAAGAAACCAAATGTTTAATCTTATTATTGATCCAGCCAAAGATGAAACTAAAGATTAATGCCAACTAGTTAACTTTAGAATACTTTCCCTTTCTAACATATGTTATCCTGGAACCTTAAAAACATCAGTGAAATAATTCCCAAATAATCTCCAGTTTATTTATGGGAGCTACTATAATTTATCCTTTACCGTGTATTGAACTGCGTAGCCTGTGTAATTTTGTTCATATCTGGGCTTTCTTCTGCCTAAACCGAAATGATATAATCTGACCTTTTATTTTAAATTAGGAAATTTATTCTTGTTAATTCATTTTAATTTATAAATCCTTATTTGGTGACTGTCAGTAGAAACTGCAATGGTTTTCATTGAAATGTTTGCTAGCTATAAAATTCATATAATTAATGTTAGTTGTGTTAGGCTCTTTCAAATAATCTTTATGTACAATTCACATCTAGTGATACTTTTCATACTTATGCTAATATGACTATTAATTTATAAGAAACTTCTATTTAATTTCTTCAGTCTGTTTATTGTTTAACATCAATCTGGGCTATTTAGGACCTGGTTTGAGACCAAACTCTAAACCTATAACATGAATCGGCAGAACATAAAGATTCAAAGTAACCATGAAACATTTTTTCCAGCTGCTATATGTACTGTAGGTATACTATGGTTGGGTAAATATGTCACCTTTGTTTTCCTTTAACTTGTCATTTTCCTGATCACAAGCTTATTCTGGGCTCTTTCAACATCTGTTTCAAATGGGTTCCCCCTCCCTCACCCTCCACTCACTCACCTTTTTCTTCACATTTCTCTTCTACTGGATGCACTTTTTCTAATGTGCAAATATTTCACAAGCAATTTTCTATCAATATAATCCATTCCTGCAGGGAAAAAACATTCATGTCTGTGCATGTTGTACTTCATTAATGTACTTTATGAATATTTTTGTTGCACACTTTATTTTGACAGGGATGTGTCTTCTACTACAATATTATTTCAGAGGTATAAATTTGATAAGCAAATTTGTACAAATTCAGACTGGACAAATTTCCTATCCATCTGTAAACAGCATACTAGAGCTGAAGTATGCAAGAACAATACCAGTGTAGAAATATATAGTAGCACCTGGTATGTTCTACAGTAAAAATTATCAGTCCATTGTACAAGATGATGATCGTAAAGATTTAAGTCCCCCAATTTGATTTTGTAATGCTGAATTTGAACTTTACAGGAGAAACTAATTCTATTCAGAGCTCTCTACACCATAATAGTCTCACAGGATCTTTTTGTTGCCATTTTCTTCTTTATTAGGGATAATGCACTCTTCACTAAAGCGATGTGCAAAGATGAAGATTTTAAGGTTGATGCTTTTAAAGTTGCTAGGGCACATTGTGACAGGTAATAGGGTAGGAAGCTTGGAAGTAAAAGATTATTTACTTTTACTGTGGAGGACAGAACAATTTCAAAAGATCTGAGCACCTCTATTTTCTGGGTCAGACAGAATATCTTCTTTCATTCTGTTCTTTGTAGTGGCTCACTCTCTAGGGAACTGTCTGCTTCTGTATTACTTTCTCATACAGCGTAGAGCACATTGTCAGTGCTTAACAAATAATAACAATTTTACCAACACAGTACACAAGGGAGCTTCTTATAATGAATGTGCTTTGTCTGAGAGCAGCCTTGCTATATGCTGAACTTTGCCATTGTAATTTCCAACTAACCATGTGCAAAGATACAGACAGATTTTGTCCTAAGTAGGACACTTGTATGTAGAACTTCAGATACGTGGTGTGTCATGCCTCAGCTCATATGTGGTTTAAAGGGAGTCCAAATATGCAGCTTAATAGGATGAGTGGTGTTCCAAAATTCCTTGGAATAGTTCTTAATATTAATCAAATCTGTCAGATTTCTACAATAGCTATTTTCTTATTGAGACCTCACTTTTTGCTAGCTGTCATTTGACTTGGTCCTAAGTTACTTGCAGGACTATATCTCTTTGCAGATTCAGTCATGTCGAAAGAAGTATTGTAGCAGATCTTTCCCCATTTTGGGGAGGTTAGCGAGGCCCAAGACCAAATGTAATGTTTTTCCATTGTTGGACTGATCATCTCGAATGGCCTCCCGTTGTAGATTTGCTTAGTTCTAATCCTGTTCACATGCCAGAAGAAATTGAAGATAGAAGTCTTCCCAGGGGTATTTGGAACATGGTACCACTTAATTGTTGCTAGTGGGGTTAAGTGTCTTAGATTAAGTTCCTTGGCTTTCTTATTATTATAATACAGTTTATTTTTCTGCTGAGTGTCTTTTTGAATTGCAATAAGTAAGGGAAGGAAGGAAGGAAGGAAGGAAGGAAGGAAGGAAGGAAGGAAGGAAGGAAGGAAGGAAGGAAGGAAGGAAGGAAGGAAGGAAGGAAGGAAGGAAGGAAAGAAAGAAAGAAATTCTCTACCAAGTGGGTTTAGGATTAAAGCCTTCATTATTTGCAAAACCATATTTGTTATAATGGCAAAGTTAAAGCTCGAGGCTCATGCTTTAATTAGAGTAATCGCTGGAACCCTGACAGCTATTTATGCTCAGCCTTCCATCCTTCCAAGGTCGGATAAAAAATGGGGGCCCAGATTGTTGGGGGCAACATGCAGAATTGTGAACTGCCCAGAGGTGCTATAAAGCACTATGGGCAGTACATAAGCCTAAGTGCTATTGCTATCATGCTTCAATATTGGAAATCAAGCCAGTTAACATGTTGCTTTTATCAGTCTATAGAAGCTATGTATAGTTTTCAAAAATACTTTGTTTGGATGAAGTTCTGATGCTGAATTATCTGGCAGAGAAAGAAGAGGTCTGGATTCAAGAAGACAGTATATTTTATTATTTTTTATGTAATTTGGAACTTGCAAATCCTTTCTAATACAAATATAGCTGCTTAGATTTGATCTTCTCTTTAGACCTGGACCCTCACTGTGAGTCAGAAGACAGAGGTACTGGCC